CCCAATTAAACAACCTGATGCTGAACCTCAAGCTTCTAGAAAAAGAAGAGCAGGAGAAACCCAAAGCCCATAGAAAGGAGGAAATTATAAAGATCAGGGCAGAAATCAATGCAATGGAGACTAAGAGAATGATACAAAAAATCAACGAAGCCAAGAGTTGGGTCTTCGAAAGAATCAACAAAATTGACAAACCCTTAGCCAACCTTATCAGAAAAAGGAAAGAAAAGGCCCAACTCCACGCAATTAGGAATGAAAAGGGTGAAGTTACAAGAGACCACACTCTAAAGTGAGATAAATCAGACCCACATGTTTAAATACTGCATTGTCTCTCTGGTGTGAGAAACTGAAAGTGGAAATGAGGACCGAAATGTATAATAGGTGTTGGGAAAGGGGGAGAATATGTTCAAATGGGAAGGGGAACAAGGGAGAGGGGAGGGAGAAAGGAAGGAATGGACAAGGAAAAAAAAGGGAAAATAGAAGGAAAGAAGGGAAACAAAGCTTTTTTTTTTTTTGGTGCCAGGGATCGAACTCAGATCCTTCCACTTGCGCAGCAGGCGGCGAAACCACTGAGCTAAATCCCCGGCCAGGAACAAAGCTTTTGTACATAGGAAGGGGAGGGAGCTTGAGGGTGGAATGGGATAAAATTAAATTTTAAAAAGAAGCCAGGTGAGCCAGACACGGTGTAATCCCTGTGGTCCCTGTAGTGCCAGCTATTTGGGAGGCTGAGGCAGGAGGATCGAAAGTTAGAGGCCAGTCGGGGCAACTTAGGGAGACCCTGTCTCAAAATGAAAAATTTGACAGGGCCAGGGTTGCAGCGGGGTGGCAGCGAGGCAGCGGCGGCCTGCGTGGGCCCGGGCACCATCTGACGTACAGCTCCCAGCCTCCTGGGGTCAGGGGTTTCCCATCAGAGCCCTGCACTGCCCACTGCGTCCACTGTGACCCACACAGAGCTGTCGGCGGCAGCCCAGCCAGGAGGAGACCGATAAAATACTGCTCACCTTCTTGACCTCTGAAAAGCGATTTTTGGCCAAGCGAGGTGGCGCACACCTGTGATCCCAGCACTGGGGAGGCCGAGGCAGGAGGAGCACAAGTTAGAGGCCAGCCTGGGCTCCACAGGGAGACTGTTTTATGAAGGTCAACTACAAGCAAGTAACTAGGATAAATAAATAACTGAGGGGGCGACCCAGATTTTCACAAGGTTTCAGGAGGTCGGGTCTGGGTGAGCCGCAGACTGAGAGCCACAAGAGAACCCACACCGTGGAGGACACTGCCCCCGACCCCACCTCCCCCTTCAGCCCGTCTCCCCTCTTTCTCATCCAGTTCCCCACCGCCGCCCTAGGACTGGGGATTGAACCCAGGGACCCCTGAGCTAAACTCCTCGTTTCTTTTTAATTTTTTAAAATGCTGAGGCAGGGTCTCCCTGAGTGCCAGGCTGGCCTGGCCCTTGCCTGAGGTCCTCCTGCCTCAGCCTCTCCAGCAGCGGTGTGGTCTAGCCTCACCTTTTCCTCCCAGCCCAAACTGCCTCAGCGCGGCTTCCCCTCCAGCAGTTCAAAGTCCCCTGGCAAAGTTCCTGTGACCTCATGCCTCTTTCTACTCCGCACAGCCTCCAGCCTTATCTCCTTTGACCTCCTCATGGCTTGGAAGATGCCAGTTTCCTCTGTCTTGAGAAAACCACATCTCATCTTGTTCCGTGACAGCCTGCTTGTCGGGTACTTTTCTTCACTCAGTCTTCTTCCTGTCCCGCTCTGCTGGGGGGCACCGGACCCTCCATCACGCAGCAGTCCTGACTTGTGGGTTTCATCAGCCTGGGTGTCTGCATGGCGCCCGGGGCCCCTCCAGAGGCAAACATCCAGCTCCCAGGGCAGCTGTGGGCCCGACAGGCGCAGGCGCCCTGTCCCCCACCTTCAGAGATGAATTCGTCCCTCTGGCCCCGACCACAGCCCAAAGTCGCCCCCATCCTGCTATCTCGGTGTCCACACAACTGCGTCGCCTGGGGATTTTACCTCGAGCGCGCATTTCCCCAATCCGCCCGCAGCTCCTGCGGCTCCTCCTCTCCCATCACGGCTGCCCGGCTTAGGCCCTCCGCTTGGGTGTGCTGAGCCGGAAACAGAGGGCCCGGCCGGCCAGGAAACATCTAGAGCCAGAGTGCGAAGCCAGAGGCGAGAGTGGGAGGAGCAGAGGCCAAGGTGGATGCTGTGGATGAAGTAGGCAGGGGTTCAGCTAGGGCGCCGTGAGGGCCCTGCTGCAGGGACAGGCGGAGGCCTGGTAACACTTACAGATGGAGAAGACAAAGAGATTTTCAAGAAGACAGGAGGCCGTGGTGGCGCACACCTGTCATCCCAGCACTCGGGAGGATGAGGCAGGAGGATCATAGCGAGTTTGAGGCTAGCCCTGGCTCCATAGTGAGCTCAAGGCCAGCCTGGACTATGTAGTGAGACCCTGTCTCAAAAAAGCACCCCTCATCCAAAAAGCAAAAGATGATGGGCTGGCGAACACCCTGCCATTGCGCTGCTGCAGACACTATGGGCTTAGCGGTTTCAAACCACAGATTTCCTTTGTAGGTCTGAAGGCTGCTGCAGCGCAGGCAGATTCTTTGCTCAGGGTCTCACTGGGCCACAGGGAAGGACTGGAGGGACTGACACTGTCACCCTGGGCTCAGGTTCCACCTCCGAGCTCGCTGGTCAAATCCATCCCCTCTTCATACTTCCGGTGTGGCCCACTGGCTCAGGGGCAATGGCAGCCTGATTCTCCCTGGGCTTGGAATAGCTCTGACTCCTTTTCTGCTCTCCTTTTCTGTTTGGTTTTGTTCTTGGAGTGCTGGGCACGGAACGAGGGCCTGTGCAGGGTGGGCAAGTGCTCATCTCAGGCCTTCCTGGCTCATATGATTACATTTGGCCCACCCCGCTGATCCACAACAATCTTATTTATTGGCTTTTCTTTTTTGGTACCAGGGATCAAACTCAGGGCCTTGCGCTTATGAAGCAGGCATGGTGCCACTGAGCTAAATCCCCAGCCCTATTGTTTTTTGAGTCAGGGTCTCACTATACAGCCCAGGCTGGCTTTGAACTCACAGGGCTCCTCCTGCCTCGGCTTCCCAAGTGCTGGGACTATGGTTGTATACCATCATGCCTGGCGGATAATCTATTTCAAAGTAAGCTGATTAGCAACCCTGATTACCTGAGCCAAGTCCCCTTTTCCGTGTAATGTAACTGTTGGGCCAGACTCCTGCGGTGCTGGTTTGGGCGGGGAGGGAAGAGAGAGCCTGGGCCACTGGCCAAGAAGCAGGAGCGAAGAGCAGCAGGGCTGGCGGGAGCTACGGGGCGGGGTGGCGGTGGGCTCCTGGCTGGTCCAGTCTCAGCCTGGCCACACCCGACGCCATCCTGAGCCCTGGGCGCTGGGGACCCTGGGACCCATGCCCGCCGGCGTCTCCAACTGAGCTCCCTGCAAGCAGGAGCTGACTTGCTGTCCTTGCGGCCCACTGGCTGCTTCCTCCAAGCCCCAGGAGTCACCCTGTCCAGCTCAGGGTTCCCTCCGCACCAGCCCCACAGCCAGTTTTTCGGCCTCTCCGCCCGGTGCCCATGGCCGCCGTACTCCTGCGCCTGCTCTCCACCCACAGCTCTCCTCTCTGTCCTCCCGAAGCTCACCAGACCCTGGTGCCTCCAGAGAGCCACCACGGGGTCACATCACACGGGAAGCAAACCCAGGCTCTGCAGCCCGGCCCCCCACACCCACTGCTCTCCTGTGCCCAGGGGCTTTGCACAAACTGTCCCCCCTGCTTGGGTCACTTCCGAAGCTCTTCCCGTGGCTCCTTCCCTCAGGTCTTGGTGTGAACAGCGCTGTGGCCCGAGACACACTGCCTCCTTGACTTCAGATGTGTCACCCATCACTGATCAACCGTGTCACACTTTATGGCTCTGACTACTGCTCTGCACTTGTCCACTGCAGTGCCACGTCCCAGAGGGACTTTGTCTAACTTGTTTGCTGCCGTTCCTGCAGAGGGCCTGGCCCCTCCCACGGGGATAGGTGACGTCAGTAAATAACCCAGCCCAGGTTCTGGTTCTGGGGCCAGGGTGGCAGACACAGGGGAGAGGCCAGTGCCGTCCAAGCCGAGTGGGACGGAGCCAAAGCCTCGGACCCCAGCGACAGAGGTCACGGGCGCTGTCCCCACAGGCTGGGATGGGTGTCCACCAGGGATCCCCAGAGATGAGCCCTCTGCCCACGCACATCCACGCCACCTCCCAGAAATTCCGGCTCCTCTAAGTCACTTGTTCCTTGGCGGTTTCACCTGTCAACTCTGGGCTTCAAATTTTCCTCTAGCGAAACTCATCAGCTCTTTCCAAGAACAGCCAGGTGCGTGTGTGCGGGCGCATGGCCTGCGTCAGGCCTCTGCCCGCTTTGAGGGTAACCTCAGCACTTCCTCCAGGCCCTGCTTTCACTCAGCCCTGCGGCAGGATTCTGAAAGTGATTTCTGGAGAAAAGCTGAGCAACGCTTTGGCCTGGGCGGGACAGTGGCTGCTCCCCTTCCTTGTGCCGGGCTTTATATACCTCCTTGCAGCCATGGCGAGCACATCTCGCTCCGGAGGCTGCTGCCCAAGTCAGCCCTGCTCCCCCTCTGGCCATGGTCCGCTGCGCAGGTACCCCGGCCCAGCCTCATCTGTCCCCGGAGGAAGTCACCCGCCACCACGGCTTCCTGGGGAGGCTCAGGGTGTGGCGCCTGCTCACAGCTTCTTCTCTCTCCAGGCCCCACGAAGCCCGCCCTCCTGCTGCTCTGCTGCCTGGGAACCTGGCTGTCGGCCCATGCACTGTCCCTCCCCACCCTCCCACCGGAGGATCTGAGGCAGATCCTCCGGGATCTACAGAGGTGCTCAGGGAAGCTTCTGAGTGACTACGTGAGTGTCCCCCACGTCTCTCTGAAATGCCTCGTCCTGACACGAAGCTGGGTTAGGAGGGCCCAGTGCACCGAGGTGGAGGCAGAGGTGACCGAGAGCCACCCCAGGACTCTCGGGTGCTGGCCCAGGGTGCAGATCCTCGGAGCGGGGCGCCCTGCACTCAGAAGCCTCTCAGGGCAGCACAAGCCCCGCTCAGCCCCAGGGGGACAGGGTGGTTCAGCCCTCCTCCGGGGTCTCTTTCTGCAGGGAGCGCAGTGCATCAGGGAGGCATTCCTGCCAAGCCTGACCCCGAAATAGAAAACACCTGCCTTTCTCAGAGTTGTCCAGCAAGCCTGGCTGCCGGGGTCACAGCAATTCGGCCTCAGCCAAGGCTGTTGGTCCCTAGGAAGGAAGAGGGGAGCTGGAGGCCCAGAGCCCTTGGGGTGCAGGGGAAACGCCAGCATCCAGGGGGCCCTTGCTCCTGGTCGGCCAGGGCAGAGGACTTCCGCTCCGGGCCCTGGGAGCCGAGTGTGCAAAGCTGGGAGATGCCACTCAGACCTGAGCCAGCTTCCAAACCAACTGAAGTCTGGTTTTTACTAGAAAAGGGGACAATGACGGTCGCGGACTTTTAGGGCTATGGCACAAAGTAGATAAGGGAGGCACGATCCAGGTTGGTGGCCGAGGGAGCACTCCAGTTTGCTGTGAGAATCTGAAGATGTTATTCTTGTTTGGTTCGGGCTTGAGACAGCGTCTCGTTATGTAGTTGAGGCTGGCCTTAAACTCTTGGTGATCCTCCTGCCTCAGCTTCCTGAGCACTGGAGCTACAGATGTGCAGCAGCATACCCAGCAAGATCTTGAGATGTTACTGCAAAGCTAATGCTCACATTTCTCCACTTATTTCCACAGAAGAATGAAGTGAAGTTACCATGGGAAATGAATACACAGAAAAAGTACGAGCTGCCCTGTTTCACCCCTGGCTTTGAGGCAGCAAACAACATCTCCGTTATCCTGGCACATTTGAAACAGATTATGAAGTGCAAGGGTTCAGGATTAAACAATGGAGATATGAGCTACACCATACAACAGCTGGAAAAACTCAGATACGGAGATACCCTGGAGCCACAGGTACCCACCTGTAACGATACCAAACCCTTTGACTATAAGACCTACATCCTGGAGACCTTAGAACAGTTTTCACTCTGCATGGAGAACATTCCCGGGCACTCCAGGAAGGGATGGAAAACCCGATCAAAACTGCCATGCAATCCGAGATAATGCTTCCAACAAGAATCCCAGGGAATCCTCCAATGGGCCAGTCCCGGGCAGTGAGATTTAACTTTAAAGAGATTACACTTGTTAGGCTTGGTATTTATTCCTTTGTAACATGAGGGCGGAAGTGGCAGCTATATTATTAATATATATTAATTATTGCTATTTATTATACTGAGTTGTTAATGTTCCATGGAGGAGTCTATTTAATAAATTATACTGAATTTTTCTCATAACCTGTTTTGGATTTCGTGAGGGATGGGAACCCAGGCTGGGTCGGGTTGTGGCCAAGAGAGGATGGAATATTCTGGAGACAGCTCTGTCACCACCATTTCTTCCCCTGGACACACTCAGCAACAAATAACCATCCCAGGAGCAGCTACCACTTATTTACTGGGCTTTTTGTTTTTTTTTGAGACAGGTCTCACTATATACCCCAGGCTGGCCTTGAACTTGTGGTGACGCTCCTGTCTCAGCCTCCCTAGTGCTACCATGTTTCTCTGAAAATCAGACCCTGCTGGAAAATAGCCTTGAAAAGTGAAAATCAAAACTGCCAGCCCCAACCAGCCTCTCCTTGCCTTACCTGCCTTCCAGAGCAGCCACTGAGCGAGAGAATAGTGAAGGCTGATTTTTTACAGTGAGGTCTTATTTTGGGGGAAAGCAGGTAAATCACAGGCATGCGCCACCATGCCATTGTACGTTTGTGTTTTTTTTTGTACCAGTGATCGAACTCGGGACCTTGCGCTTGCAAGGCAGGTGGCAGAAACACTGAGCTAAATCCCCGGCCCCTGTACGTTTTCTTTATGGCAGGTCAAATACCCATCATTATCCTTTGTCCAGGTGCAGAAACTGAGGCAGGAACAGATTGGCTTCACTGTGCTGCCTGACCTCTGTCCCTTCCTGGCCAGTGACCTGGTCTTAGAGGCACTGAATGCTGAGTCCAGTATAGAGCAATGATTCAGCATCCACTGTGTGATCTCCTAGGTCCGCATGTCCAAAGCTGTTCAGGGTTCTTGGGATCATCTGGATGAATGGCTCTCAGAGTGCAGTTTGTGGACCCTCAGCACCGCTCGGCACAGTTAGAAATGCAAAGCCCAGCCAGGCTCAGTGGCACACACCTGTCATCCCAGCACTTGGGAGGCTGAAGCAGGAGGGTGGCAAGTTCCAGGCCAGCCTGGAAATCTTAGCAAAACTGTCTAAATAAAAATAAAAGGGGGTAAGATGTAACACAGTGGTAGAGTGCTTGCCTAGCACGCATGAAGCCCTGGGTTGTATCCTCAAAACTGTAATAAATGAAACAAGAAAGAAAAGAGAGGAGAAAGAAAAGGGCAGGCAAATCCTTGGGCCCCACCTGCTAACTCCTACAGTCAGAGAGTGGAGATGACAATTTGGGGTGTTTTGTATTGTATCTGAGGGTGCTGGGCACCAAACCCAGCCCATGCTAGGCAAGGGGTATGCTGAGCTTGTCCCCAGTGCCAGCCAGAGAAGAACCCCACACTCCCACCTGTGAACCACCCATCTCGGGTCAACCAGCACCTTCACTGTCATCTCATCTTTAGGGAAACTGAGGCCCAGAGATGGCGTGTGTTGCATAAATCCACAGAGAGAAGGGGGTGTAGTTAGGGTGCAGACGTGCAGTGGAGTCTCGGCCTTCTCGCTCCATCCCCTTTGGGTTTTCCTACTCCAGCCCCACACTAGTAGGGCTTTAACACATCCCACCCCACTCCAGAAGGGGCACCCGACTGTCCCCGCCCAGGCTGGACTGGAGACTCGCTTCCCACGATCACAGTGGCTGGGAAAGAGCAACAATGTGGGGCGGGGGCTTTCAGCAGACACCCGATGACCACCTCACTTCCCCTGAGGCTTCCTCCCCTAGCTCACCATGGGGGTCCTATCTCGGGGGATGTGTGACAAAGTCGCCTGCCATCCTCTCCAGGAGCCACAGGGCCACAAGGCTGAGGGGCTGTCACGGACGGAGATGCAGGTGGCACAGGGAGTCAGGGCCTTGAGGGAAGCCGGGTGGATCTTAGACCCAAAGGAGACACTGAGTGGAAACCCAGTGATGACACAGCAAGCCTGTCCTTAGCACCCTTACCTGCGGGGATTCTCTGTACTATTCACATCTTTTTGGTACATCTAAAATTAAGTACCTAGACTTCAGTGGATCATAAAACATCTGAAAATATCATTTTAGTTTCTTGAGCCACGGTCTGTGTAGCCCAGGCTGGCCTTGAACTCACAGGGAGCCTCCTACCTTAGCCTTCGAAGTGCTGGGATCACCGGCACAAGCCACCATGCCCAGCTCATTGTGTTTATTTTTACTTTGTGTGTGGTACTGGAGATTGAACCCAGGGCCTTCAGAGTGCACTATATCCCCCGCCAGCCCTTTTTTATGAGACAGTATCTTACTAAGTCACTCAGTAGCCCAGGCTGGGCTCCAGGTTTCCATCCTCCTGCCTCAGCCTCCTGCACGATGGGACTACAGGTGGGGCCACCACACTGAGCTGAGATCAGCACTTGGGACATAAGCCCCTTGGCCCAGTACAGGGGTCTACAGTGGATGACCCCTGCCTGGATGGGGGCTTTCCCCCCAGATTCTCAGGAAGAACCAACACCTAGAGGGGAGATAGGAGAGGAGATCAGGGGAGGAATGTGCCTGTAACTCAAGACCACCAACCACAGCACAGACAGAGGGAGAACCCGAGTTAGACCTCCCCTTCCGGATTTAGCACGGGGCAGCAGCCACCATGGTAAGTGTGACAAAGCCTGATTATCTGGAACTCAACTAGAAAAACTCCCAGGTAACTAAAATTCCTTTTGATAATCATCTGCCAAAATCTAGGAGGGAAAAGATAAGCAGATCTTGGTATTTTGTGACAAATTTATCTCCCTCCCACTGAGGTAGAAGAAATAAAAACTAGGCAGAAGTTTTGCTATATCTTGTTTTTTTTTTTTCTTGGTACAGGGGAGTGAACTCAGGACCTTGTG